TGCTGGGATCGGGTGTTTAATCCAGTGCTCAGGGCCTGGGGCTCCTAATGCGTCTGGCAATTTGGCAGTGGGGGAGTTGTGACACGGTGTTGCAGGCAGGATCTGGCCTCTGGGCCAGGGCTTGAGCACCCCTGAGTAAAGGGATTCCTGCGTTTATAGACTGAGTACAACGTTTGTTAATGAAAGACAGTCACTATCTTTTTGGGATAAAAAGTGTTCCTGTATGTAGAGCTTCCCTATGCAAGAAATTTGTACAAGTTGCACTGTTTCCAATGCAGTTTTGCAGGAATGCTGTTTGCTCAAACTGAAACTTGCCTGATTCAGGTTTCTTTAAAAACTCCAATTGGTATAAATGTGCAATAGCTGAGAAACATGAAGGGGAAAACATTTTTCTCTCTCTTTTTACATTTGTCTACTTTCTATGCATGTGCCCATGTTTGGGTTCAGTTCTTCAGCTGGGCATTGCTCAGTCCCACTACGTCCAGCACAGCTCCTTGGACTTAGCGGGATTATGCTGATTTACACCATCTGAGGACTAGGCCCCTGCGGTCCTGTTGTTTCCCCTGTTTCCCATGGCTGGGTTTAGTCATTTCCCACTGTTGTTTATGTGGCTCTGTCACAGCAACATTTGGAGAGAAACATTTACTGAACAATAATAAAATAGGACGGGAACATTGGTGGGGGTCTAGAAGGGTGCCCTAAAAATACTTGTTAATCTTTCCAAATGACTTGATTTGAAGCATAAATGTTGTTATGCTTGGTTTCATCACTGACACTGTTATATGGTGTAGGCTTGGTTCTTAATTCTCAAAATAACCTGTCTGTTTTACCAGCTGGCTGAGAAAGCAGATCTATTCAGTTGATCAGACAAGAAAGAACAGGTAAGAATCTCACCCTTTATATGTGTCCTTTAGTTTTTTCATGGCCCATTTTTCTATTTTATGTGTTTAAAATGAAATGTAAACTACCTTACAGGTTTTTTTTTTTTTTTATCTTTCCATAAGAGACGCTTACCGTCAGTGAACATGCGTGCCCCGTTTTATTTGAAGAACATCAAGCATGTGACATTCAGCGACGATCAGACATAGTATAATATAACCAAATATATCTTCCTTTTAGCCCTCTCTTCGTGGCGGGTGTTAGCATAGCTGTAATTGTAATCAAGGAGGTGCCTTCCCCTCAGCCCAGCTTTGAGCTCCCCAGTCCGTCTCGTGCCCCACACCACACACCTGGATACTTCCTCTACAAAGGCTATTGCCTCTTTGTTAATTGAGTAAGAGCCTGTTTCTGGGAATCCCTTTTCCAGCCTGGGCCATTGCTCCAGCTCCTACCCGCACAGCTGATGGGATGTCTGTGGCTGCCTGAGATGAGTTCTGTGCTGCCACGACTAGCTTGCTGCTGGTGCCCTGGCTGGCTCAGATCTGTCTGAACCACACTACACTCAAAGATGTCTTCATGACATGGTAAACACAATGTGAGTACAGGGAGAGTGGCAGGTAGGGCATAGACTGGCCTGGTCCAGCAGCAGCATAACCACTGTCCTTCCTCTTTGGAGTGACTCTGAGTCTAGGGGAGAGATGTTCTGTGAGTAGGGGCATCGGAGAAACTCTGGGTGTGGGGTACCTTGCAAAGGAGGAACAAAAGCTGCCTTGGGAAAGTGGGGTGGGAGGAAGCCAGATACTGGCAAAATATCGGAGGGCTCACAGGTGTCATTCGCAAGGACTTGCAGTGCTGTGACATTGGCTTAGTCATTGCTCTGCTCTGTATTAACGGAGATGTAGACCCAGGAGTGAACTCCTAGATTCACACATCTTGGCTGAACAGGCCCAGCATGGTGTCTCCCAGCATGGAGCCAGTGTATTTGGGTAGGGACTGACCAAGTGCTCGCTGCAGGTCCATGCATAAAGTGCTAGAGATTTGCAGTCTGCAAGACCTCCTCTGTGGTGAGTGAGAATCCATGTTCTGCCAGTCAGGGCAGAGCAGGAGTGAATTGATGGGCAGGCGAGTGGGGTCATGAGCCCCTGGTGCTGTCTGAGATGTGGGGCAGAGCACCAGAATAGAGCTAGGGGGGTACCTCAGTCTCCCAGCCTCCTTTTCCCCCCTGCCTTACAACATATTTGCATCAGGAAGGACAGGGAATCAGACTCAGGTGGTGCAGGAGCAGTGGCTGGAGGGGAAGATGTTTCCTCTTTTTTGCTGCTGACGACTGGTGGTTTTTTGGGGGCTTTTTGGCCTCTTGACACATGAGTTGGCAGCAAAAAAAAAAAAAAAAAA